ATCATTTTACATTTATGGATATAAACATATAGATAGATAAAAAGAGAAGAGAGAAATATTATAAAGTTTGGATAGTGGCTCGGATTGATGAATCGGAGAGAAAAGTTCGAATTTCTGCCGAATCCATTATAAACTTACGGGAATATATATATATATATATATATATATATATACATATATATATATATATATATATATATATATATATATATATATATATATATACAACATTTAATTTATTCAAATTTCGGAATTAAGTGATACATTTACCAAATTTTCCTAATACGAATATTTGAAACAGCTGACAAAAACTGGATAGATATAAAAATTAGATAGATAAAAAATCAATAAAAATATTATAAACTTTGGATAGATAGAAAATAATAATAAAAAAATTGGATATGTTAATGAAAATTGTACGAACAAAACTTGTTAATATTATTCAAGAAAACATGCATAAAAATCTGCTTAAATGCACTATATATATATGGTTGTATAAAAAACAGATGATGCAATATTACACAAACTGATATGTGTGAAAAAATCAATAAAAAAAGAAAAGACTAAAAACATCCGTAATAATAATCAATCAACACCGCAATGTTTCGCCAAAATAAATAAAACACCGACAGAGTTACCTCAGCTGATACCTAAAAGTGCTCAATACATTAAGTAAAGCTAAAGAGCCAGAACCTATCTACATAGGTTTCTTCTACCGGGTCATCAGGATAATTATATATATATATATATATATATATATATATATATATATATATATAATATAGATAACTAGACTCGTTTCGAAAAACCCTCGAATTTTTGATTTGCTAATCAAATCAATCTCGAGGGAAAAAAGGTTTTTAAAAAAGAAAGAGCTACAAACATGAACTTGCTGACAAAAAATCGCACAGATGCAGGTCTGAAGCCCAAAGAAAAACCCCGATACGCATAACAAAAGAGCCCAATACAACCGTAGAGCAGACCTAGATACACCTAGTGAGCCAGACAGTTTGGTTTAGGGTTTCACCTAAACGGATCGTCAGGAAAGTTTGGAGCCAAACTTTCCCTGACGATCCGTTTAGGTGAAACCTAGGTAGGTTTGTCTGGCTCACTAGGTGTATCTCTCTCTCTCTCTCTCTATATATATATATATATATATATATATATATATATATATAATTATTTATTCGAAAATTATAACATAGATGTATTGAAACAAAATGGCATTTTGTAGTGATTTTATAACATATTTATGGTATAATTTTCGAATAAATTATTATATTTGTTTAACTCTGTATTGAGCACTCTTTTAAGAATAGTATTTGTTCGTTATTGGAATTTATTCCTTATACACCAATCCTATTCTTGGATATATATATATATATATATATATATATATATATATATATATATATATATATATATATATATATATATGGTTAGGTAAATGAGATAACTAGATATTAGCGATCGCATATGCGTGTGCTGGCGTGCATACGCTGCTAAATAAACAAATAATAATTTAGCCAAGTGGTGTAGACATAATCGTGCTCGATGTGGTGAAACAGAGCTAAGAAATGTATATTAATAAATACACATATCGCCACGTTATGTGTACAACTCGAGTTTCGTTGGCTACCCAAGTCATCTGGCACGAGATATAGCTTATATATAAGCACATTAAACGTTGATATCTGTGTATTTATTAATATGAATTTTTCAAAATATTTACCTGGTTTCCCGTGGAAATTTCAATAAAAATTGTTCAGTGTATTTTAGGCTTTTATATAAAAGATATTATTAAAGAGTTTTTGTCGGTGTTTGTAGTTGGTAGTGGATCTTGTATATTATATACAATGTAAATCAATTGCTAATGAGTTTACACTCGACGTGCACTGGAAACCAACAGCAAGAGTTGGTGTCAGTGGCTAGAAATTAATGCAATCATCACTAAGAGAGTAGAGTTATTATATGCATAATGCAAGTTCATTGCTAATGATTTTAGAATGAGATTACACTGGAAATCAACAAGAAAGGAGTTGACAGTGTTTAGAAACTATTGCAAGCATTAATAATACAATAAAGACTCTTGTATAGAATGGGGCTATTATATATATAATGCCCTGGTAATGATTTTACTAGAGAATTCCATTAGAAATCAAGAAGAAAAGTATTTTCAATTGTTAGAAATTAATGCAAGCATTACTGAAATGAGGCTATTATAGATAATGTAACTTTTTATAGGCATTTCACCCCAAGCAAGGTGGGATGCCACTAGTACGCAAGGGGTTGCAGAGTGGGAGCGAGAGTAAAGAGGCGTGATGGAGGAAAAGATGAAGAGAATAACAGGGAAAAAGTCAGATTGACATTACATTTGAATAGTTGGAGATTATAGCTATCAGTGAAACAAATAATAGGAAGGGAATTCCACAGACGGGAGGTGCGAGATATGAAGCTATAGAAGTAGAGTAGAAGAGATGGCTAGATTCAACCATTTCGACAGTGAAAGGGTGGGACCGAGATGCCAGCCAAGTAGCAGTCTGGGAACTAGCGAAAGTAGCTCGTCGGGGCCGTTAACGTGAAAGTATTTGTAGAAAAGGCAGAGGGAGGCGACGGCACGTCTGTGAGAGAGCGACCGAAGACGAGATGCCAGATCAAGACCAACCACATTGCTTATCCGTCTCTGGATCTTGTCGAGGACCTTAAGGCGAACAGCGGGGGCACCAGACCATATATGGTGGCAGTGTTCCATGCAAAGGCAAATGGTTGATTTATAGATTTGAAGGATGGACTCCGGCGAGAAAAAAACTTTTTGGCGCGCCACAGGGAAACGACTTTCCTCGCAAAACATTGCTATTTATCTTATTATGGGATTACACTGGAAATCAAAAAGAAATTATTGTCACTCTAGATGAATTAATGCAAGTGTTACTGATAGAATAAGGCTATTAAATGATGCCAGTTGCCTCTCTACCGATACTCTAGCCATAGATAATGTTCACACCTCTATAGCCAAGACCCGCCATGCTACGTAAACATGGTTGACACAAGGACATGAGTGTTCAATTCCGAAAGCTTCTTCCCAAAATCTGTTACTTAATGAAACATAATCCTAAGAGGGTGCATCCTAGAACCTTACAATCTCCGGATCTAGTGTCCATAAATATCTACACGCCATTACTCCGTAATCATCTCTTTCTACGTCCTCCTCTTATGTTTATATCACATACGTCATTGAGCAATCTCTATCTTAAGCGGCTCTTGGGCCTTGCTTTAAATGGACATTAATTAAACATATCGTCTACAGAACGACATCTGTGTCACTAAGTGTCTTCTTCATCTGTAAAAATATTGTCCAGCATTTACTGCTATATGTGGGACTATGATTTATAAATTTCTATATATTGGGAATATTTTAGGCAAATGAAAGGCACAAGAAAACACACACACACACACACATATTTTAGTTAAGAGTTATTCCCTTGTCCAAATTTAAATTTAATTTTCATTGGGGGTGTTTTGCCCCCCACCCCCGATAGCCCCTTTAGATTAAAATGATCTTGCCGATGTGACCTTCATCTTCTGGTTTTCTCCTTCTATTTTAGATAGGAGTCGTTCCCCTGTTGAAAATTTAAATTTAATTTAAATCAAAGGGGGAACAAATTTCAGTGCTGGGGTTGTGCCCCAACACACACACCGGGGACCCCCTTTGATCAAAATGAAACATACTTAACCAAGTACCCTGGAAGTCATTTCCTTGTTCAAATTTAAATTTAAATTTAATTTAAATCAAAGGGAAAAATTCAGTGGGGGTACCACCCAGCCGGTCCTCCTTTGATCAAAATGAAATATACGCATCCAAATACCCTGGGTAATGTAGTTTCACAATATATATGGTTATGTGGGTCTCCAAAACTCTAGTAGGAGTTCGATAACAAACAGACAGAGGCTACAACTTTACATATATATATATATATATATATATATATATATATATATATATATATATATATGTATTAATGTTATATTATAGACACAAATATTTAAGTAAATGCTCCGTTTATAATAAACAGTATTAACAACTTTTCCCGGCTTAAACGTCCAAGAACTTTCATAGAAAATATGCATCCTCTGTCAGGAATCGAACCTTTATCCTACACTGAAGCGTCATATAACCTGACGTGCTCTACCAGTTTAGCTATGAAGGAGCGTCTGGTTAGCGAGGTCGATGTTTACAGCTTTAAATTACAAACTTCCCATGTTTTCGCTCGAACGTCGATATCTGCAGATATTTCCTCACATTTCTACCATATTGCAACATTATGTCATCGTAACACTTCACATTGTCAATTGTTGGTTGTTTAATGCCAAAATTTAAATATCTTGTATGCAATTTCATTTTTGGTGTGGAATAATGGTGGTTTTAGTGATACAAGTCTTAATATTTAACTCATAGTTGGGGATGGGGAGAAGTGGGTTCATGCCTTTCCCATTTGCGCGTAAGGTAATATAACGAACCCAACTGGGATAGAAACTCAGCTCTCCGATTAAAATTCCCGAGCCGTTATTCATTACATCAGACGCAGCACCTGGTATTCCAAAGCGGTTGCCCATCTAGGTAACAACCAAGCTAAACGTTGCTTAACTTCGGTGACCATACGAGAACCCATGTTACAACGTGATATGGCCTTAATCCGTTTAAACCTAACGAACATTCAAGCTTACAAAACTTGGTATACAAAGCGGTTACCCATCTCGGTAATAACCAAGCTCAACGTTGCTTAACTTCGCTGATCATCCGAGAACTCGTGTTACAACGTGATGTGGCCATAAGCCGTTTATACATAACGAACATACAAGCTTACAATATTTGGCATTCCCAAGCGGTTACCCATCTAGGTAATCACTAAGCTCAACGTTGCTTAACTTCGGTGATCATACAAAAACCTGTATTACAACGTGATATGCCATAAGCCGTTTACACCAAACGAACAGTCAAGCTTACAACACTTGATATTACCAAGCGGTTACCCATCTAGTTACTAACTAAGCTCAACGTTGCTTAACTTCGGTGATCGTACGGGAATCGGTTTTTCAACCTGATGTGGCCGTAAGCATCGTAAAACTGTATTATTAAAAGTAACTACAGACGGAATTAAAGAAAGCGTGAAGAATTTTTTCTAAAAAGTAAAGAAAAGCCTGATAAAAGGACGAATGTTCAGTTTTAAGAATTAGCGACACCCTACAATGGGAGCTATGAATTGAAGACGTCAGAATCAATGAAGTCCATAAATTTAACGATATGAGAAACTTTTATACCGAAAAAATGTGACACCGAGATCCGAAGGCGTATTGGAATAGCTAAAGATGCCTTCCAAAAGCTAAGCAAAGTATTAAAAAACAGGAAGTTATTTTTACAAAAACAGAAACGGAAATAATGTCCGTGTTACTGATATAATCGAGTTATTTTATGAATAATTAAATGCTTTGTATAAATAATCTCTTGCTTTCATCACGACTCTCCTATATCCTTGTACAATTGATATTGTGTCTCTTGTATGGACAAGTGCATTCATTCCTTCCCCAAAGTTATTAGTGCGAAATTAACAATAGGCCTCAATCAAAACTTGAATTCTATTTCTTCTTCTTCGATGTGCCATGTCCTTTCAGCAGGTGAGCGATCATGGCTCTCCACAACTCCCTATCCTTCATTGCTCTTAGTAATGTTTCTATTTTTGCTATCTCTCCTCATCCTTGCCCTAACAAACACTTAGACAAACTCGTTAGATAAATCTGCAACCCTCTTGCCTTTGACATGTCCTGCGAATGTCAAATTTTCCAAGCCTTCTTTTCTCATGATGCTACCCAGAAATTTGAATTGTATCTTTTTGGTTTTAGGTACAATTGTCTTTTTCGTTTCCTTTTTTAAAACTTTCTCGTTGCTCACATGTTAAGTTCATAGTATTCTCAGCATCCTTCTGTAGAACCACGTCTCTGTTTCCCCGAATCTCTTCTTCATCTGTAAGAAAATCTTCCAGTATATTCACTGCCATATTTTTAAGCGTAGATTAGATGTGGCACAAGGCCGACAATATGGAGCCCCTAGTGAGGATCGAACACACTACTCAGTCGTAATTAGTCTAGCAAGACAAGCTTGCTGTCCGTTACACCACGTCGGAGTGTACAAAAATTATATTCTAAACGTAGCTTAGATGTGGTTCAAGGCCAAAAATGAGGAGCACCCAGTGAAAATCGAGCTCACTACTCAGTCGTTACTGATCTAGCGAGACAAGCTTGGTAACCATTACACTACATAGAAGTGCCCAAATTTATTGTCATATAGGAGGGTACATACTGTTATAGTGGAACACACCTATTCTATAGTTAATAGACTCTCCCACCTATGATAAGTAGGAGTAGTAAGTGTAACGAGGGAGGGAGTCGCTCAGTGGGTCGGTCAGTCAGTCGATGCCGGACGACCGTTAGTCGGATACTAAAGTATCAGAGACCACAACTAGATTTCTCTGCGTCATTACCTATTATATGAAGTTCCTAACGTTTTGTACGTCGAACCTATTTTAGGACCGACTTAGTACAAATACAAGCATCCTCTGTGAAACCACTCCATAACACATACATACTACACTGGAAGGATAGTAAGAGGAAGAAATTTTTTTACTCATAGCTGTAATTAATAGGAAGCTGCGAAAAGCCATGATCGCCCACATCCTAACGAGACATTATATAGAAGAAGAGGCTCTTTGCTTTGTTTAATAGCTTTTTTCAGACAGAGGTGGAAGGAGTGAGTCGTAAAAATTCTCTTTGATTTTTTTTTTCGAGAACTGACAAAGAAACGAAGATAAATTCCTGGTTAATTGTAGTGTTTCATAATTTTTACTTTTTTTTTTATCATAATAAACAAAACCGTGAACCTAGATTTTTATCTTTTGGAGATGAAATATTGAGAAAACAAAGGGTGAAATTGTATATCAGAAACGTATGTATACTTGACTCGTATTAATTGTACACTTACGATTCATCAACAACTGGAAACTGGTTATTGATTGTTAGAATGATACACATAACAATGCCATTATTTTACAAGTCATATCAAATAGGGCAGCAATTAGAAAGCTTTTAGCGCATGCGCGTATTTGAATGCGTTTGTGCGTTCATTTTTACGTTGGCAAAAGTCCAAAATACTCTCCATATTTCGCTAGAATAGTCGTATTTGTTTTTGGCGGTATATCAAACTCTATAGGTTATTAATTCCAAAATCTAAACAGTCGTACTGATATAAGTTTTACTAACCCATAACTTGGGAAAGAAGAGGTAGGTGTCCCAAAAAAAAAAAAAAAAAAAAAAAAAAAACGATAAAGTTACCTAAGCTTATACTTATATATATATATATATAACAGTTACGGTGGATTGGTCATGTCTTGAGAATGTCTGATGACAGGATACCCAAGATCCTAATGTACAGCCAGTTAGATCAGGGCTACAGGAATGTAGGACGCCCATGGCTAAGATACAAATACAAGCTGAAAAGCAACTTGTCAGCAGTCAATATACCACATAACACCCTTGAGCGCTTAGCTTTGGAGCGGGTAGAATGGAAATCAAAGTGTTTATTGTTTGAATCATCTCCAAGAACCGAGAGCAAGATCTAAAATGTCAACCAATCTAACAGTGATCTCATCTCACAATCCTCACACTTGCTCCATATGTGGCCTCCTTTGTAAATCACTAGCGGGCCTGAAATGCCACTTAAGATTAGCGCATAAACTTACATAACTGAATCAATAAGCTGGCAGATCCTCATACGTCGAAACCGACGGGAGAGTCCATTATTATATATATATATATATATATATATATATATATATATGAAGAAATATAGTTTTACGGTGTGCTATATTTATGGGATAAAGTGCCTAATATCAGAGATCAGGCGTATGTAAATATAAATATAAAAGTGAACATTGAAGTCAACACTCAGAGGCGACAGGTTGTTTCATACTAGAAGCAATCATCAGGCGGCCTCTGAGTGTTGACTTCAGTGTTCACTTCATATTCATATATATATGTGTGTGTGTGTATGTGTGTGTATTAGGTGGCCATTCATATTCAAGGATATAACACACACACACACACACACACACACACATATATATATATATATATATATATATATATATATATATATATTATAAATTAACTGATTGAAAATATGTTTTTTTCGCTACACAGTAATAACAATGTTTTAAAAATGGAGGCCTTGAATTTTAAATTTTATATTTTATATATATATATATATATATATAGGGCAGTAGTCTTTGTTCTTTTTTCTACGTCTGTCTTTTATCCTAATATTTTGCATTTCATTGAAACGGTCAGGTCTTTTGTTTTACATTCTGCGACGCTTAAGCAAGCTGCTTCGATATCTCCGAAAAAAAAAAACGTCTGGCTTACTGATTAGGCTACGAAAGCTCATCGGTAAACGTCATTCAGATAATATAACTAAATATTTCTGAGGGGATTGTTATTCCACCTTCTTTAATTTTGATTAAATAGTAGTTGACATAATAGTTTCAAGTTGCCTAAATTTCTTAGATGAAACATTCAAATAATGTCCATTTTTGGGCTAATCTTCCTTTCATCAATGGCAAAAAGATGATGGAAAAAATAGTCGCCAAAAGTTAATAATAATTGCCAATGTTTCATCTAAGAAATCAAGGTAACTTAAAACTCTTACGTGTAAAAGCAAGAGAAATAAGATGAAAGAAATTCTCGTCAAAGTTAAGAATAATAATGAAAAATAATCAAAAATAATCATAATGCCAATTTTTCGATCTTAAACATTCAGGTCACCGGAATCTATTACGTTTATTATAACGTGAAAGTACAAAAATCGCCATTCTCGTAGATAGGGGAAGGGTTATCGACAAAAACCTGATCATCGATACCTTTGTCGGACAGTCGGCATAATAAATGCGCATGCGCAAATATATATTATCGATTGTAATTGCCTAGCGTGTTGGTTCATTGTTTAATACTGAAGGTACAATGGAATCCCTTATACTGAGATATGGTTACAAAAATTACCAAAATATTATGATACATATCACTAATCATGAAAATAGTGTGCGCACATACACACACACGTGTATATATATATATATATATATATATATATATATATATATATATATATATATATATATATATGTGTGTGTGTGTGTGTGTGTGTGTGAAGAAATATAGGTTTAAGGCGTGCTATATTTATGAGATAAAGTGCTCAATATCAGTGATACAGCGTATGTAAATATAAATATAAAAGTGAACATTGAAGTCAACACTCAGAGTGGCCTGACGATTGCGTCTAGCAGGAAACAGCCTGTCGCCTCTGAGTATTGACTTCAATGTTCACTTTTATATATATATATATATATATATATATATATATATATATATATATACCGTCCTGGATATGACGATAAACTACATCCGCGTCCTGGGTAAGACGATTAACTACGTCTAACAGCAAAGGGAAATAACTCAGACATACTGAAGAGGCATGGCACGTGGAACTAGGACAATCTACCCTGGTAGACGAAATAAATGGTTCAGTATGAAATTCTAATCACCTGAAGAAGGCCGGAGCGTACAACGGCCCAAACGTTGTGAATATGGCAATGAAGATGAGGATAACAGTCCAAATAATGCAAGTAATCATAAATCCTCATCTCAAAGATATAGACAGACAAGATGGAATTATAAGCCAGTGAAAGATAAATAATGTAAAAATGGTAGACCTATTTAGTATGGTGAGAGATATGTGTATAATTATATATAATTTACTCAGAGAAAGACACATTGAAAGTACCCTGCAGTTAATATACTACCGGTCTTCTGCTGCCTATCTCTTCTTATTAAACTGGTCTTAGAAATGTGTGATACAAAAAACTCTTAAAAGATATGAATATATAAATAAGACCTGTGTTGAAATTAGTAAAATCTTTTTTTCATAATGTACGTTTCAACATTGATCAATAGTCAACTTACTCCTCGTTTAATTCTTTATACTTTATTTCTCTTATAACCAAAAAATGAA